TTCTTTTTACAAGAAAAAATTATCCAAATGTTTCATTTGAATTAAAGAAAAATATTTCAGTCATTTAAATAGCAAGCTAACCTTGGTTAATGTTTCAGCTAAAAAAAAGAACACTGAAAATCCTGTTTACAAAGCGATAAAGCTTGTTTATGCTTTTTTTTGCAAGCAAGAAAAAGAATGACGAAAAGAGCTGTCCATATTACCCTAATCATTTACAAGGGAACCACACAATTCAAAAATTTAGGACCAGATCATTCCACAAATGAGTGGAAATTCATATTACAGCAGTGTGGTGGCGTTTTGCTGTGAAAGTAAATAATTCCCAGCTATTCTATTGAGTTTTTTCATTACAAATTAGTATTTTCCAAAGGACAACATGAAAAAAAAAGAAGTAATTCTAGAGTATATGTACAAAACACAAACATTTTTCCAGTAAGAATGGTGGCAGAAGCAGCATTAGCAGCTTCAGATTAGTGTTCAGTTTATTCAGTTGTTTGTGTTGGTGAGTTTCAGATTAGCGAGGCTCTACTCTACTAGTTGCATAAATTTAAGCATCTAAATACAGGCTTTATAGTCCATGTCCCAAGCTTTTGGCTTACTGAATCTTTAAATAAAGACTGGCTTTTTTTTAAGAAAAATAAAAAAGAGAAGTGACAGTTCAGAAAAAAATCATGGATTTGACGCAGGAATAATAGGGTAAGTCCCGAGGCCTGTTATATGTGAAACAAAATCGTAAGACTTATCCACCAAAAAGATAGTAAGAGTTTTGTTCCCAATTCAGCTCTCCTTCAGAGAGAAAAACTCTTAATCCCATTGGGATATTGCTTTTGACTTAAATTGGTCAGTCCACTAGACGGTGTAATTTAAAACCTAAATTAGCAATCTTATCGTTGACCGTCACACTAACTCTACACCTACATCCCACGCGGCCTCCCTCGGATTTTAAAATCTACACAAAACACACCTGTGCAGATTTTGCTTGGGCTGATTCTCTGGGTTTTCAGCTGCGACTAGTGGAGAGAGGAGGCAGCGCTGGGTACGTCCAGCAGGTGGTGCAGCCGGCTCTGCAGCCAGGCTCCTGAACACCGCTGCTTCCCCTGCGGGTGAGCAACTCATTGTCCCACGGTGGGTTACACGGTGTCCTGGAGATAAATAAAGCACACTGTTACCTGGCATGTCCTTAAGGAGGTTACTGATGTTACTCTAGGAGGAAGGCACTATAGTTTTTTATGCTCCTACAGTAGGGTTTCTAAGAACTGGGGTAACTTCTCCTGCTCGCTAGCTCACCCACCGCTCCGCTCACACGCGTGCAAAAGCAGCTTGAACTCTGCAAGGCAGAGTCAGGTTTGCAAAACCCACACGTCCCTTCATGCCCAGATGCAAAGCGTGGCATGCAGAGGAGCCTTCGCACAGTCTGCATGTAGCCTTTCGTTTTGAGAAGATAAACATGAACATGTTAAGCGCTCAAGAGCTGGAAAAGCTGAGCTCCCTTCAAAACTTAAAAGGTCCCTTCAGCACAAACTTAGCGTAGGAAGACGATGCTGTCCTAACGTGAGACATTTTGGGTCTTACTGAGCTGGTTAGACATCCTCAGAGCTGCAAGCTTCCACAGGATGGCCACAAAGGGTAGGAAATGGCTCCAAAGTAGAAAGAAAACAAAAAGATTCTTTCAGAGACCTGCCAGCAAAGTTTCTTTGGCTCTGCATCTAGGCATTTCTCCCAAATTCAGCCTCTCAGCCTCAGATAAAGCAGTACAGCCTGAAATGAGAGTCAGATGTGTGGGATGGGAGTGCACATATCTGTGCCTGGGCTGGAAAACATATGTACTGTAATGCCTAGAAAATGCTTTTTACTTTGGGCCTTGCTCCAGAAAACCTTTTTCCTTGCTTTTACAACTGTCCCCTGTTGCTTGGGTCTGCACAGATTTTAAAACCCAGCCCTGAGGACAGGGAGCTGCTGCCAACATCCTGAGGAGAGGCTGAGAAAAGTTTTCTTTGTGCACTTCTTTCTGTGGCACAGATGTGGGAGCAGAGAGCCTGAGAGCAGCCTTGGGCACAACGCTTCCAGCCCCTGCTCTGGCTCCATGTTTTGGGCATTCAGACACAAGAGAGAGACAAGAAGGGACGGTC